AAGCTTTTATAATAGCTATAAGCTTTATATCCAGGGTAGAGTAGTTTAACTCGGGACTATATAGCTTCCTAGAAAAGAATACTATAGGTCTTTATTATTAGTCTATATTAAGTTAACTAATAACTACGCTTAGGGCGAAACTTAATACGTCCGGCTTAATCCGGATTAGTAAGGTTAGATTAGAATATCGAAGAACGGGCGCCTCCTAGAATTTTTAGTATAGTAGGCGGAAAGTATTCTGCTCCTTAGAGGTTAATATAAAGACCCTAACTCTTTCTCCGTCTTTTAATAGGTTAGTTAGTAATACTATAACCTTAGAGTAGGCTTTTATAAACCGCCGGTAAAACCCCGTGAATCCTAAGAAAACCTAGATCTTTTTAATCGTATCTAGCTTTTCCTAATCCTGGATAGCTTTTACCCGTTTAGGGTCTATAAAGATACTAGAAGGGCTATAGATAAACCCGAGGAACTCTACCTCTTAAATCTTAAAAATATATTTCTTCGGATTAGCGTATAGGGACTATTCCCGTAACCGTTATAGGATACTCCGTATATATTACCGATACGATATAATATCCGAGCTATAGATTAGAATAATATCTAGGTAAATAACGTAAATAGTATCTATAAGTCCTCGTAAAGACTTATTAATATACCGTTAAAAGGAGGCAGGAGCGTTATAAAGACTAAAAGGTATCATTAGATACTCGTAATAACCGTATTTAGTCCAGAATACGGTTTTCTATTTATCGCCTTCTTAGGTCCGTAACTAATAATAGGCGTCCTCAAGGTCTAACTTTATATAGATCGTCGAATAAGATAAGCGGTCTAACATCTTATAAATTAGCGGGAGTAGCGTATAGTCCTTCTTAGTTACCTTATTAAGTCCTCGGTAGTCTATATATAGTCTTAGCTTTCTACCTTTTTTCTAGGATAAAAAGGATAGTGGCGCCTACTAGACTAGATAAAGGCCGGATCTATTATTTCGCCGAAGTATCTTTAATATACTCCCTTAAGACTACGAGTTCCTCCTCGGCTAAGGCGTAGATAGGACTAAAAGGGGGCGATTTACCCTTATTAAGTTTAATTACGTAGTCCTACTTATAATACGGTAGGAGGCGACCGGCTTTAACTATATTAAACATATTAGTAAAATATTAGTATAGTTTAGGGAGGGTATCCTTATTAAGGGGGCTAAGGGGGTTCTAGATATACTCCTAGTAGTTTTAAGGAGGGTTTTAGGTAATAGTTATAATCTGGCCTAGACGCGTAGGATATATAGCCGTGGTAGTCTATACTATTAAAGGGATTACCGTGGTAGCGCGGTTAATAGCCTTATATAGCTAGCAGGTCGTGGTAATAAGAGCTAATTCGGACTTCTAAAGATAAAATATCCACGTCTTATCCTTCTAGTGGATACTAGGATTTTAGGACTAGAGCTATAAGAGACTAAGGATAATCTAGGCGCTATTAGGATCTAAATCTATAACGTGAAATATAATAGTTTCGGCTTAGGTCCTACCCGAACTATCTATAATCTAGTAGATTAATTTTATAACACCGTAGGTCTTTACCTGATAACCTAGTATTATCCACGAGATATCCTTAGTAGGTCCTAAGGGTTTATGAGCGGGTAAGAGGCTAGCGCGATTAGTAATATCTAAGTCCGAACCTAAGTCTATATAAGCATGGTAAAAGGTCCTTTTACTATCTTATTATATACCGCCTTATCGTAAACTAAGTTATATCTCTAGGGGACTATAGGAAAGAGGTGCTAATATAGACGGCTCGCGTTCTTATTATAAGGGTTCCTTAAAAGGTATAACCTACACTTAACCTATCATAGTATTTCTTTTAGGATCCACTAGTACGGAATTAGTACTAGGCGACTTATTCTAGGTATTATTCTAAGGCCTATTAGCGTTCTAATTTATCTTCTTAGGGTCTTTTAGGCACGATAAGCAATAATAGCCTTTTTTATAATAGTAAAAATACTCGATTTTCTTAATAAGGGGTAATAGCCTAATATAGGGGTTCTTTTAAGGTTTATCCGATATATTCTTATCTTATCCTTTAGTACCCTTAGTATTATTCTAGTTACGACTACGTGAAGGGCTTAATTATTTTTTCCACTTATCGTTATACTTAGCCCGTTAATAAGCTAGTAAGGAAGAGCGAGGCTAGTTATTATCCTCGGTATCCTGGGTTAAAATAACCTAGGCCTAGCGGGCGGCTATATAGAGCTCTTTAACTAACTTCGGTAACTCTCTAGCACGGATCCGGTCTTTAAGGGGTTTTTATAACTTATTAAGAATTAACTATATACGAATTTTATTATTAAGAATAATAAGGACTTCCGTGAAGAGTTTATTTATAAAGTCTAGGAATCTATTATAGGATTAGTCAGGTTTTTACCGTATACGGTCGGAGAATAGTTATTCCATGATAGATATCTCCCGGGTATTATCGTTAACTAATAGACTAGCGAGGAACTTCTTTATATTTTCCTAAATAGCTCCTCCTTCACGATTTATATATCCGAAGGTAGTCCTCTAATAGTAACGCTATAGTGATTTAATAGTCTATAGAAGACTATTAAAGGCGTAGAAGATTTTAGGTAATTCGGTACGAAACTAGTTAGGGTTTATAGTAATCCGGGACTTAATATCCTCGATAAAAATAAGATATCTATCGTAAGATACTCTATCCTATTTAGGAATATTTATATTAATTTTAATTACGTTATTACCCTATACGGGTATATCTAAAAAGAACCGGGAGGGCTCCTACGAGGTTATAGGGGTAATAGTATCGGGGTCGATACCGCTACATAGAAGTTTAAGTTAGCCTTCTTTCTTCTTTCTTTTAAGACGTAGGTTAAGATAACGGGTCTTTACTATAAGTTCGGTATCTTAGAGGTCTATTATAGTGAGACTTTAGAGGTCTAAGTAAGTATATCGCGTTACACGGTTATCCCCTTATCCTTTAGGATTAGGAGTATTAGGGTTAAAGGCCTTATCGGAGGGAGGGGGGGGGGTAAAAGGGAAGATAATCCTTCTTTATTATTATCTATAGGTCCTATAAGAGGGGGAATCAGCGGATTAGCGTATTAAGGTATCATAGTCTCCTAGGGTTTTACTATTAACTAGTCTTTAGTATTACGTGGGTCGAATTAGTCGTTATAATTCCTGTCGGTTATTATACCCGTGTAAAAAGGAAGAATAAATAAAATATTATAGGTATACTATAAGGAGTAATAGACTATTATAGAATAATATAAGATTACTTAGGGACTAATAGGAACTAAAAAGGGGGTATCGTGATAAGATTATTCGTTAAGTCCTTTCTTAAGACTCTAGGAACTATAAAAGGCACTCCCCTCTTTATACCTACCTAAGGTCTTCTAACTAAGTGGGTGGCGAGAGGCCTCCTTAGGACTAAGTTTAGGTATAAGCTGGTTCCTAAGCTAACTAGCTTACTAGATCTAAGCTAGCTTCTAAGCTAACTAGCTTATTAGACCTTAATGCGTCGTATCTTTAACGGTCTGACCTGACTACGATCCCCATATAAGTCTGGTGCTAGTCCTGTGGTAACGTATAAGCACTGTATATTCTAATAAGTAGCCGGTTCTTCTAGATCTTTTACGAGGCTTAAAGGTTAGGCACTAGTATAGGAGTGGTAGAAGGGATAGAAAGAGTAGAAGGGCTAGGCTTAGCTAGCTCTAATTTTGCTTTAGGCTTATAGATACAATAGTCTTTAAGGGTAGGAGTCTAGCTCTTAATATAAGCTTAGCCCTAGATAAAGTGCTAGAGGTTAAGGTCCTTAGCGCGTTATTAATCCTTAATAATCTAAGCGATATAGTTAGATCGACCGTTAAGAAGGGGGCTATTATAGATATAGGCGTTAGAGGAGGTTATCCTCTAAAGGGGAGGGGGGGGGGGGGATAGGTATAGGGTGTAAAAGAGGTGGCGGAGAAGGTGGAAGGGAAGGAGGAGGTGGTTGAATTAACGGTTATCGGTTTAACGATAGCTTCTAGCCTGGGTAGGCGAGCGGTTAGTGATAGCTTTAAGCCTAGGTAGGCGAGCGATTAGTAATAGCTTCTTCGACGCCTAGGTAGGTAAGCCGTTAGTAATAGCTTTAAGCCTAGGTAGGTAAGCAGTTAGTTTGCTTCTTCGACGCTTAGATAGGCGTTAGCTAGATTAGTGGGTGGGTAAGAGGGCGTAATGCTATAGTACTAAAACTCTTCGCGAGCTAGGCGGCGGTTTAAATTAGAAGCTATCTAAAGCTTTAAAAAAGAATAGCAGGAATACTAGTTACTACTATATAAAAATATAAGATTAACCTAGTATTATTATATAAGGAGATTGGGTTAATTAAAGAGCTAGGGTTGATATCTAGTCTGGGTGATACGGGCTAGGGTACTTAAGCAGAACGGTTTCCCTATACAAACACCGTTCGTTTGATATACCTACGCCCGAAGAGTCCACCGTTTTTATACCGACGATTTCCCGCAGGACTAGTTGTCAGACCACGGCTGTGTAGGGCCGATACAGTTGTGCGTTGTACGTTTACAAATCCACCTATATGCATCTGCCCTGAGATCTTTAAGACTGCTATCTACCTGTACAACAGAACCCCAAGATACATGGGAATTCCCTTTTAGCGTAGTGGTACATTTTCGATGCGACATAATTAGCCTGATATCAGTCTGGTGGCGACATTTGTCTTCGTACACACCTATATAAAATAGGTGTAAAGGTACGGATTAGTAGTGTAATCCAATGATCGAGCGGGGTGTGGAGCTTAGTCTCGAGCTAACGTTTCTAATATCTGAAGAGGTGTACCCCAAACTGCCAGAGGCCCCTAAAACCAACGAATGACAGCAATGGCCCACCCATTGGGCTTGGGCTTTTGTGTCCTGTCTCCCACATTGACGACTTAATTGGCCGGTCGGGCTCCTGGGCGGGAGCAGCATCCTATTTCTCGACTGATTGCGTCAGGCCTTGACGAACATTCATACTTGCGTCAGGACTTGACGAACATTCATACTTGCGTCAGGACTTGACGAACATTCATACTTGCGTCAGGACTTGACGAACATTCATAACCACAAGTGCATTCTCCCCTCCCTCCCGCCAGCGCATGCGGTCATATATACACATACCCTCGAAGCACACATATCTTTAGCTCGTACGCATTATCTTTGCATGGCTTCCAAAGTCACAAAAACAACGCTCCATACGCGCAGTCCTGACTTCGACGACCATTCCCAACTCGTCTCATGCATCTCCGCCAATTCAAAACTGAACCCCAACGCAAATATACCTTCGTCCAACTTTCCCCCGGAGCATTCCTATCCAGACGCTACGGAGGCCTCTCCGCCAAATCAAGCCACAAGCAGCCACCTCATCCCGAGGTGGTTTCACCGCGACAACAGAAATAGCAATAGCAATAACAACCACCACTCATCAACACAAGCACCCAACCCAGGAAAATTCACCGAGGAATGGAACGCGAGCCAGCGAGGAGCGAGTATCATTGACGGTTCCTCGGCCAATATGCAGCGACCGAACTCGTACCATGGCAGCCAGGATGAGGATCACATCAGCCTCCCGTCTCGGGGGAATACTCTTAAGAAAAAAAGCTCTCTGCGCAGGAATGCCAGTCTCGGGCGCAACGGAAGCCGCCGCAGCATGAAGGCTGGAAGTGTACGCAGCTTGGCCCTACAATCTGCCTCAGACCCAGATGAGGCAAATAGTGCTTTTCACTGCCCCGTGCCAACTGCCGGGAATCCAACGGAGGTTCTAGCGAATCGCTTCAATGGTGAGTAGCAAGATCATTAATTACTTTGCGCCTTTTTTTTGGCCTTTTTTTCTCCCCCTAGGTCGCGCATATATGCTAAACGATCGCGCTCCCAGCTTGGCGCAAGATTTTGAAGGACCTCATAGCCTACTATCGCGAGATTCAGAGCCACTACGAGGCCAAGGCCAAGTCCATCCTGAAGGTGGCCAATGTTGCCAACAATATAGCGGCGCCAGCAGGCTTCTTGGCCTCCGGGGGGCTTGACGATGCCATGGACATCCTGAGGACCTACCACAAGAACGCCATTCTCGAGGCCAACAAAGCGAAGGAGATCGAAGAGGACGTTATTCTTGCCTTGACCGGTTTGAGAAGCGATCTTCAGCAGAAGATTAAGGAGATCAAAAGTCTATCTGGCGACTTCAAAAACTCCGTAGAGAAGGAGATGGACAATACACGGAAGGCTGTTAAGGCGCTTCAGGACACGATCGGCCAGAGTGACTTGGATCCGTCTCTAGCCACTGGCAAGCAAGATCCATACCTTCTCCGTCTGGCCGTCGATCGACAGGTGGAGCTTCAGATCGACGAGGAAAACTACTTACACCAAGCGTACCTGAATCTTGAGACCTCCGGAAGGGAACTCGAATCGATCGTTGTCGGCGAGATCCAGAAGGCGTATAATGCCTATGCCGGCATCCTCAAGCGTGAGTCCGATGCTGCCTATAATGCGATCGACGAGCTCCGCATTGGACCCATCTCCATGCCAAAAGACCGTGAATGGACGTACTTCGTCCAGAAAGACGATCAGTTTGTGGACCCTGATGTTCCTGTCCGATCTGCCGAGCAGATTCACTATCCTGGCCAAGATCACGAGTCTTGTCAGGAAATCCGCGCGGGCCTCCTGGAACGAAAGAGCAAGTACCTGAAAAGCTATACTGCGGGCTGGTATGTATCCCCCCTTGCCCTGCCCAGCTTCTTTGTGTTGCCGGGTATTTGCTTACGCATCCAGGTATGTGCTTTCTCCGACTCATCTCCATGAATTCAAATCAGCGGACAAGACGCAAGCGCCTGTGATGTCATTATACCTGCCGGAACAGAAGCTAGGATCTCATTCAAGCGAAGGTGGTTCTTCCAACAAATTCATCCTCAAGGGACGGCAAGCAGGATCCATGCATCGCGGCCACACTTGGGTCTTCCGCGCCGAGACGCATGACACCATGATGGCATGGTACGAGGACGTCAAAGCACTCACCGAGAAGACGCCGCAAGAACGAAGCGAGTATGTGCGCCACACTAGGAGCCTTAGTCAGTCTTCGCGACGCTCGATTAGCAGCGACGCCGTGGTCGACGAGGAAGATGAGGAGCCTTTCTCCGCAGAAGCCGTTATCCCAGCCGAGACAGACCTGAAGCAAGATATACGCCGTCCTGAGCCAGGTGGGAGGTTCCCATCTGATATCCAAGTCAACGCGCAACGAGACTTACAGGCTCCGCTCTCGCCTTCTAGTATGAGTTCGCGGTTCGACAACCGGAGCCGCGAGGCAGATGGGATGGTGGGTTTCATACCCCAAAATAGCCAAGGACGCGATTATTACACGAGGGAGGCCCAAGATAACCACAGGGGAGGATACGGAAACACAAGTCATACGCCGATGGAAGAATCTCCTTCACATGCTGCAATCGTCAGCCAGCAAGCTCGCGAGGACGGAGTGAACCCTTACACAAATGAGCCTTTCCAGCGGTCCCAATTCCAGATCGATTCTTCTTACCCCTATCACCCCTCCCAACCCTCCCAACCCGACATGGCTTTTGTAGGAGAAACACAACGGTCTCAAAACCGGCAGAGCTATGGGTCCCATGCTAGCCAACGCGGGACCCGAGATCAGAGCCCTGCTGTCCAGATCATGGCCGATGGCGGTTCACAACAGACGAATCCAACTTGGGAGCCTGGTGCCTATGTAGCTGCGGGTGTCAATGCTCAGGATGGCCAACCACTGAACGACAAGGCCTACAACTCTTCGAACAGGCTTCAGGCTGCGCATAGCGGTGAATATAATTACCCGTCGGAAGACCGAAGCACCGGAGACATCAGCAAACCGCCGGTGATCACGACTGGGGGTCAGCACAACGATGTTCGCGGGTACCCCCCAAATAACGAGCCTCGCAGCTTTGAAGGCTCTGTGTCGTCTCCTGTTCATGGCGACTACTACCCTACCGCCGCATTCCCGGATCAGAATGTGCCTAACGGTCGGCCCATGTCAATGAATGTCAGGACAAACAGCATCCCGCACATCCCAGGCGAATACCCGAATGGCAATACTCCGACCATGGAGAAGCTTAGCAACCGAGTTTTGTAGGAATAAAGAAGCACTCATGCCGGGTGGTAGTCGCTGGGTTTCTTGTTGGTTTCGGACACTTGGCGGGCAGTCTCTTTTCATGTATTTGGTCTTGAGTATTCGTCCATAAATATCTCGTCTTTTCGTCTTTTTTGCTCTTCATACTACAGCCATATCGGCACAGGAAAGGGCAGGAGGAAATGGAAGCGACATCAAAACAGAAGTAGTTGCGAACTGGGCTCGTCAGTGGACACGGGAATTCGTCTTGAAGGACGGTGTATTTCGTACCTAACTAACATTCAAAATGGAAGAGGCGAAAAAAAGAAACTGCCCCCTACCGCCGCACCCCGCACCCCTCACCCCCACCCAACCTGCTGGGTTTCTTTCATACCTACGGGGGCGAGGGGGTACAGGTCAGAGCCTAGTAACTGGTCAGTCTATCGACAGTCTTAGAACTTTATGTTGACAGAAATATCTCTGTCCAGGCTCTGGCCACCAAAAATTCTCTGTTCGAGCTGTCCTACAACGCCCCCTCCCCGTTAGGTAGGAACCCAATGTATTTATCACAATGATCTATCGTGCACCTAAGATGTGGAACCATCGTGGGTCAGTTAGTCCTAGCACTGGCAAACTGTCCATCCGATGGGGTGATGAAGCACAGGCACTACTGCTACTGGATATGAACATGCTGTCTTCGCAGCCCGGGAGCCCTGACCTTTTTATATCAAGCAAAGCAGTCCAGAACGCCGAAATTCCCGCCCCAAAACATACAAGAACTCGTGATCCACGCACGCAGAGATAGACGGGGGCTGGTGGGGAAGAACCAGATTCAGCACCTTCCCTACCACCCCCGACTGAAGCCGCCCCGGCCACGGCCACCTCCACCTCCTCCCCTGCCCTGACCTCCTCTGCCGCCACCACGACCACCAAAGCCGCTCCCGCCACGACCTCCTCCCCTTGAGAACCCGCCGCGTCCACCGCCGCCGCGTCCGCCACGTGAGCCCCCACGGGCAAACCCAGCCCGCGCTGGTCCTCCGCGGCCGGCGCGCTTCGGTTTCGGACCAGGCGGCCCCTTGGGCTTCGGCAAGAACCGCTCCATGGGAAGCACCTTCTCCGAGGAGATATAGAACTTGTCGCCTTCTTTAAATGATGTGGCCTGAATACCTTCGGAAGGCTTAATGGTGAAGTAGACCTGGTTAATGGGTCCCAGAACTTCGTCGATCTTGCCGATGGAAGTCTAAGGCCAATTGCGCGGTCAGCAAATCAGGGAGATGGAAAGTGGGGACATGATCCGGCAGAAAGGCTGCAGGTATTATTTTCGGCTGACCTTATTCTCGAGGAACATCTGGGCGTTGAATTGGGGGATCTTGGGGTTGATGCTTTCGCAGACCATTTCGCCCTCGCATGCGTGTAAGAACTTGCCCATTTCTACTCGCCCTGGTTAGCCTCCCTCACGAACACCCAAATACATCCCAACCGGGTCACAAACGGACCTAGAATCTGGGCCGGCGGTCCCATATCTCGCTGTTGGTATCCTCCACGGCCTGAGACAGAGAACAGAGTCAGCGACCAGCTCCGGATAGAGCGCCAGAGCATTGAAGACAATGCAGGGTTCTCATACCTCCACCGCGGCCACCAAAGCCACCCCCGCGACCTCGTGGTGCACCTCGTCCGAATGACATGTTGGCACAATAATCTGCGTATGTGAGGTTGCTCTAGATAAGGATTCGGTGCATGAAGCTATCTCGAGTCGAATTGAAATTTTCCCTGCATCAGTGGTTCGAGAACCGAATGATGATTGGGTGGTTTGGTCGGCTCGGAAAAGCTATGGTGCCCGGCCTGCTTTGTCATCATAGCTGCCGTTCGCAGCAACACGCCGCAACTTTTGCGTGTACCTTCTGTCGCACGTTAAATAGCACTTAGATGATTAACTTAGGAGAGCAGAAATCTCGTGTGTGTGTATTATATTAAGTTATATCTGTGTGAGTCTCTTATGCCCTTAATTTAGGTGGTGAAGACTCTGTTATAGGTATTATATTATTTAGATCCTATCCGGTCTTTTCCGGTATCCGCCCCTATTATATCCTAATACACGAGGCCCGAAGCCCTTAATTAGGGAGTAAATCCTCCCTAGATCCCCTATAGACTATATTATAGTCCTGCCTATACGATATACCCCCTTAGTTAAGGTGGGTCTTCCTAGGTTAACTAACTAATTAGAGGCTTCGGTTTAAACTAAACGCTCTTAGCTTTTCTATCGTAAAATTAATAGTTAATCGGAAAACGCCCTTATAAAAGGGATCTAAATCCGCCCTATTTAACCGTTTAATTTAATTCTATCTTAATTAGTTCCTCGATTCTAATTAGCCGGATTTACTTAATCGGATCTATATCTATCGGATCTACTACGCCCTCGGGGGCTGTTATCGTTATTACGGCTATAGCTTTAGCTATAGCTTTAGCGCGTTTAATCTTTTCGTGCAGTTATTTCGATTACTTAATACGATTCTTTTAATCCGTTAAATTAAGCTATTACTATAGTCTTTTAATCCCCGTCTCCGGTAATACCTTCGTTAAACCATCCGTGATCATCTCCTTCGTGTTAACGTATATAACCTTAAAAAGACCTTATTATACTAACTAGCGCGCCTATTAGTTATATATATTAATATACCGTAGCCTTATCCGTAGGCGTTATGCCTTCTTATTAATAAGGGTAATAGTCTGCTAATTATCGTAGTGTAGCTATAGTTACTATTAATCTAACCGAAGCTCTAAATCCCTTAATATCCGGCTAACGAATAGCGTCTTCTTAGCTGCTTCGGTAAAAGCGAGTAGTTCCAACTCTATTAATAATAGTATCACTATTAGTTACTTACCCGCCTTCTACTTAACGGTGCCGCCGAAAAGCTTTATCGTATATCCTTATAAGCTCTTACGGTCTAGATTATCCTTAAAGGACACGTCGCTTACTATTAGGAAAAGCCTATCCCCGCTGAATTCTAGGTAGTGGTGTCTTATATAGTATAGGAATAGTATTATTTATTAAGCCCTCTTAAGGTGGTTAGAGGTGGGGTTAACGTTGTATTAGGAAAGCTTCGAATAGGCGAATACGATATCGGGTCTTATCACGATAGCGATATATAGGATAGAACCGATTATACCCTAATACTAATAAACCTCGGGAATCGACGCGCGTATACCGTCGCGTGGTATTAACGGCTCTATAGTTAATAATAGGACCTTTAATAGTTTTCGGTAAAGGATATCTACGTAGTATTTACCCGCGATCTTCTCTATATAGGAGAATTATAATAGCTATAACCTACGGGTGGCTCTATCCCTTAGGACCTTAATTCCTAGGAACTAATGGATTTCTTCGCCTCCTAATAACCTATAGCTTTATTTAAGGGCAGCCTTAAGGCTATTAGCGTCCGTCTTACGGTCTTTATAGTTTATAAGTCCGATATTATTAACGTAGAAGAATAGGATTAAACTATCGCGGAGTATAATATAGGGGTTATCCGGCACGGCCGTGAATCCTATCTTCTATAGCGTGCCGCAGAATTCCTCTTACTATAGTAGTGGCGATACCCTTACACCGAAAAGGGCTTTCCGTAGTAATAGGACCTTACCTATTACCTTATAGCCTTACGATATGTTTATAAATACCTCTTCTTTAAGGCTAGCGTTAATAAACGCGTTAACGGTATTAAACTGCCTTATCTCTAGATTAAATTAGGCGGTAATCGCTATTAGTATACGGGATAACCGTGATACTAGTATAGCGGCGTAATTATTTTTAGTCTCTAACCGTTTTTATTAATCCCCTTATACTACGAGGCGTGCCTTATAATTAAGGAGGGTGCTTTCCTTATAATTTTTATAGGTATATACCTATCTATAGGCGAGGACTTATTACTTATTAGCCTAATCGCCACGGACCTCTTATTAGTAGCCTATCAATCGGTGCCCTTTAAGGTATTCCCCCTTAGCTTATAACCACCGCTCCCATAACGGGTATAGGCATATATCGTAGTAGTGGTTTAGCGGAGGCGGGAGATCCTCGCGGGTTAGACGCGATAAGGAAGTGTTAGAGGGAGAGAGATCTATAATCCCTAGCGCCGACGATGTTACCGTTGTTAATAGCTTACTTCCTCCCGCGTACAGAGTTATAAGTCCTTCTAGCGTTAAAGAACGCCTTCCTAGCGTTATCGTTCTAGACCTTCTCGGTCGTATATAGACTTATAATAGTTCTCGTGATAGATAGGCGCGCGGCTACTAGGCGTGCGGCCGATAGGCACCCCCTAGGGGTATCTATGGCTGTCTATTAGTGGTTATCGTGTTCTTCTACCTTAGCGCCCCTAAGCACTGCTAACGCTATAAGGAACGCACGCGCGGGATCTTCCGGGGATATTAGAGGCGTGGGAAACGGTTTAAATCTTATAGTAGTGAACTATAAAGTGTCGGTAGTAATAGCGGTAGTATAGTCTTCTCCTATAATAATAGTAGTATCCGTAGTAATAGCGGTACCCGTAATAATAGCGGTGATATAGTCTATAGTAATAGTAGTGGCCTCTCCCGTAGTAATAGCGGTAGTGTTAGAGTTACGAGGTTCCAAATCTATAGCCTAGGTATTAGGCTATAGATTTAGAACCTCGTCTATAATAATAGTAGTGGCCTCTTTTATAGTAATAGCGACGGCCTCGCCTTTATCCGTAGTAATAGCGGTAGCGTCGCCTTTACCAGTAGTAATAGCGGTAGCGTTAGAGTCTTCCGACTCGAGATCTAATACGTCTACGGCTATACCCCTTAATAGTAGTCTATTCGCGGTCTTATTAGATTAGGTGATACGGATAGATTATAGGCGTTCCCTAATTTCCTTAGCGGAAGCTATAGCTTATAGCGTTTTAATCCTACTGTTAAATATCTTATCTTCGTTAAAGACTATATCTTTTATAGTAATAATATCCGTTAAGTGTGGTAGCTAAATACGGAAGCTATTCGAGGATTAGTATCCGATATAATAACCGATCTATGCCTTCGGTTCTAGCCTTTATAGGCGGTTCCTTTTAGCTTAGGTATTACGTATTTTTATAAAGGCTTTGTAGCCTGAAGCTTATAGGTGCGTAAGATTAGGTTAACGGCCGCGTAGGCCTTTATATAGCGTTTACTAGTCGTTAATATATCGTGACGTCCTATTATATAGATACACGGTAGTGTTAAAGATCTTAGGCTAGATAGATATAGGCAGATTAGCTCTAATCCTTATAGCCCTCGCCCTTCTTTTAACGATACCTCTAATCCGTTCTATAACGCCGTTTTAATCCTATAAATATAATACCGATAGCTAGCCTTCTACCCCCTTAGTAATAAGGAAAGTAATGACTTCTAAGTGCTACAGTATCTTAGAATCGGCTTATAGAATATATAGCCGGATATCGAATTAGGTCTTAAGCAGGGCAAAAACGTCTTGTAACGCGTATAGGATACAGCCTTAGTCTCTTTTCTATAAGTAGTAATCCTACGTATAACCTATATACACGTCTATAACGAATATAATAGACTTATATAGGCCGCCCGCTAATAACTCCGCCTCTTCTAGATTATAAAGATTAATAGCTAGGGCCTCTCCGGGCTTTAACGGGTAAAAGGATAGTATCCGCCGGATCTATATAGGCACTTATAATTATTTATACACGTTATAGTCCGTTATACGAGGTCCCTTTATCTTCACCCCCTAAGTAGCGTCGATAATCTTCGCGAGAGTATCGGTGCCGTAGTGGCTAAGCTGTTTATACTACCATTATACCGTGGTCTTTTACGGTTGCCGCGGTTATTATAATCTTCCCTATAGGCTATCGCGCGGATGCCTTACTAAGACCGCGAATATAGTAGCGGCTATAGCTTCCGCGTGCCTCATTATATACTAGCCGTAGATATTTAGTAGCTTATAGATAGGCTAGTCGTCGGCGGAGCTAATAATAGTATTATTTACGGTATCCTAGCGGTAACCTCATAGGCGTAGCTAGTATTGTAAGACAATATTAGTAACGAATTCCTTATAGAATATGACGTCACGGAGGCGTAGTAGCCTTTTTATACCCGATAAGGATTATACACGTAGCTTAATATCTCTATATCTAAGGATAAAAGCCTTATAAGTACCCACCTAAAGGGATACAGATAAAGTATCCGTGGGTAGTCTAACGGCTATAAAACGGCCTTAATTATTAAAGATATAGATTAACGATCCTGAATTTAGGATCGCGTAGTATAATAGCGCTCTGGCTTAGTTAATAGAAAGGGATACCTCTTATTCTTATTATAATCTTAATAGTATCGTTATACGATAACACGCTACCCCCTAGGTTAAGTAGGCTCCTAGTCCCGTCGCGTTAACGGATAGGTCTTTATAAACTATTATAGTAGTAGGTATAGTACTATAGAGTTAATCTTCCTAGACTTTCTTTATCTTGTTAGCAGTAGCAGCTATTACTTCCCGCCTCTTCTATATCACGGTATCTACGCGGCTTTTAAAGCTATAATTACGTATCTTCTCTTCTATAACCTTTATAATATCTTCGCGGCCGCGCTAGGTACAAGGGCGTATATCCGGCCTTATATACTAATAGGCGGTGGTAGTATAGGGGTTTTTATATATCTCGTAAGGCCTCTTTAT